GGTTTCCCAGGCTGCCTTGGGAGGGAAGGGAAGCCCAGGGAGAGACGCACAGGTTTTTCGCATCACCAGGTAGTCACCACAATCATCTTCTATGGGCAGGAAGATCTCGGGGACCACAATCAGGATACGACGTTTAGGTGGTGGGTTGATGGTCCAGGTGCACTCCGAGTTGGCAGGATAGTTCCCAGGGTAGTTTGGGGACTCAATATACCCTGTGAAATCCCCCAGCTCCCCTCCACACTTTCTGTCTGGAAAGGAAGTGCCATGAGTTAGGAGGGCAAAACACTGTCATTGCCATTGTAGACACCCCAAGGGTAGTCAAGAACAGCAGACCCCCTGTTGCATCCCATAGTGCTCATGGCCTCCTTGGGGGCCAAGTTCATTGCCTCTGTGAGAGTCAAGCAGCATGGACTCCCCAGAGCAGCCTACCATGCTAGCCTGAAGACACCAAGGTCGACACATTTCATCTTTGCTATTTTGTTTACCATCCTACATATCAGAGGAACAAATACTGACTTCAGAATACAGCTCACAGCTCAGCAGAGAATATTTAACCAAGAGCTTTAATGAAGATAAGACAAACTTTTTTTTTCACTTTTCTTTCTGTTTTACTTTTCAATGGAGAAGGAAGTTTCAACTAACTATTGGATGCACTCAGATATGCTGTATGTTTACATCTGGCATCAAAGGAAAAGAGCTCATAGGTACATGCTCACTACCTCAGCTCTATTGTCAGGCACTGAGCCCCTGTATGTCATCCAAAGATCTGGGGCTTAGATACAGGCATAGTCAGGAGTTCCTCAGGGAACTTACTGCTTAATACCATTGGGTAAACCTGTACAAGAGAAATTGGGTGTGATTTTTCTTCTCTAACTATAACTTGGAGTTAGCAGTGGTAAATAATAATAATAATAATAATAATAATAATAATAATAATAATAATAATAATGACAACAACTAGGTTTTTCTTCTAAGAGGAAAAGGAGAAGGGAGAGTCATGGAATTCAGGGTTGCCTGAGGAACTGTGATTTGAGACTCCTGATACAGAGCCAAAGCCCAGGAAGTGGGAAGACCAGGAACAGAGTCATCTTGGTATATGGAAGAATTTCCTAACACTGTAAATCTTCCCAAAGTCTAGTCTCACAGATGAGGCTCTCATGGATAGTAGTGAGAGTACTGTTAAAGCATGTATTCAAGACCAGTGTCTATGACTACAACTACATTGAGACAGAGAGGACATTTTGGGCGAATGCTGTAGCTCAGTGGTAAAATTCTTTTCTCACATGCAAGGCCCTAGTTTCAATCCCCACTACAGAAATCAAAACAAAGCACAACAAACAAATAAAAAGCAATCTAGCAGAGACAGCTATAGAACCTTTTAAGCATAAAACTCTACTGGTTCAATGCCCCTGTCAAGCCCAAGCTTCTCCAGTTTGCGGAGGTCTCCTCACTAGCACGGATGGCAGTCATTATTAGGTGAGCTCTACTTTTGGCCTTTACTGTAGAATTTTACATATCAGGTAATGCAGGAAATACCCACATTAGGAAGTCCTTAAATGGTTCATTCCCCCATTGTTGAAACTACAAACTGCACTCTAGCAGGATCCCAAGGCCTCCTTTTCCCGGCCTGCAAGCTCATCTGAGCTTAGGTTCAGAAGTCTGCTCCCAGAAGGCTTTTTGCTTGCCTAAGTCTTGGCTTTCCTGAGGGCTGTCTGGAACATGAAGCTCTCTCCTATCTTTTCCATTCTCCTTCCATGCCCTCCAAAGACCTTTCCTCCAGAGACCAATCACTTGCTCCTTCTGCAGTCCTATATTCTGGCTCCTGGCAGCTTGGCCAGGCTGACATAGCAGGATGCTGGGAATGGGGCAGGCCTCAGACAATGCATGTTGAGCTAGGTTGAACTAAAATTATCCTCCAAGGAAAGGTACAGTTGTAAGGGTAGAGAGATAGCTGGAGTGGGGTTCAGAGATACAGGGTACACTTTTAAGCACTTGGTTCAATCTCCTGCCCCACACATATAAAAAAGGGGAGTACTTGTGGATCATAGCTATAGCCATTTAACAGCCAAGACACTGCAGCCTCTCTCTCCCATAGCACTGGTCCACTTAGCTATGAGTGGACCTCATGCACACGATCCTGAATGGACCTGGAACCCCACCACCTCCTCACACCCCTGCCCAAGTCTGAACCAGTCTATGAAACACCTTAGAGAAAAGCCTACTTTTACACTGTGTTATATTGGTAGAGCCATCAAAGTCAGTGGTAGTATTGCCCGGACAGGAAGCACAGTTATTTTTTCCAAATTCAGGCTGGTACGTCCCCAGTGGACAACGAATACATCGGTGTGTGGTGGTGTTGTAGAAATGCCCAGGCGAACATTGAACTGTGAAGAAAAAGACTATTTTTAATCAAAGGCTTCAAGGGTTATGAAATAAATTATTATGCCTAGATGAAATACTGCTTTCCTGGCAAGCTGGGATTAATTAACACATTCCCTCAATAGCCAGAGTAGGAGGGATTCATAATATTCAAAATGCACTTGATGCACGTGGCCAGGCAGCAGTGGTCACCTCTTAAATCTTCGGGGTTGGAACAATGAGGGCACAGACCAAGGCTGACTTGGGCTTCCCTTGGGAGAGGCAGAGAATGGAATCTGGAGGGGGCTGGTAGCACTGAATGGGGGTGATGGGGAGCAGCTAGGCTAGGACACTGAGATAGAGGAGGACTAGAGGGGTGGTGCTCAGGAGGTCTGCTTGTAAAACCTGCTCATTGCTGCCCACTCATCAGACCTGTGTGAGCAGCCTAGGTGGCTGGGGAGACCTAAACCCTACCACAGGGGCAGCTCGGACTGGGTTATATCTTCACTGGACCCTGCAGGACCCAGAAGAGAAGTGGAGTTCCAGAAAGGGGCAAGCAAGTACTCACCTCTGGTTTCACAATCCTGGAAGGAAGTGGCTCCCAGATGTTTCGTGGGAAGACCTCCTCCACATGGGAGGCATGACGTACGTCCCATATCAGGCTGAAAAGTGCCCAGGGCACAGAGCTGGCAAGGGGCAAATCCATCTGCTGAATATTCACCGGGTTGACACAGGCCTGCAGGGAGTAATGGCTCCGGGTGAGTGAGGCTCCCCAGGGAAGCTATTCCCCACCTTTCTGCAGAAGTGATGGGCCTTTATGAGGCCTGATACCCCATGCTAACTTCAATTCACACATCAGTGAGAAGCACCCAGCCAGTCTTACCAGGATCCCTAGGAGGAGGTGGGCAAGTGCCTGAGGTTTGCACACATGCCTACAGAGCCCAGTGCAAAGATGGGCACCAAAAAGCCATGCTATCTACTTCTAATATGAGAAAGACCTGATATGTGTGGAGCCTTGGCCTGTACCCTACCAGGGCATCTCTTGTAATGGGGTGGGCTTGGGGTGGGAATGGAGTGAAAAGCATGAAAAAAAATCTCTGCTATGGAGTCAATCTGGTGATTACACAGAGAAGCCCAAGCTCACTTAGAAACTGCATGAACTGACTTAAAGAGTCTCCCATTCCACCATCTCTCAGTTGCATCTCCATGCACTGAGGTATGTCCTGACCTACTGCAATCAGTCTGCCAACCCAACGAACTCACCCCACATGGACAGAGGGACCCAGTGACACTGGCTTTAAACATGGTTCCTTTTTCCCTTCTCAAGATCAGGAAAGGAGGAAGACATTAGTGAAAGACTCTCAGAAGCTCTGTTCTTTAGGAAGCAGCTTGGCATTAGCAAGATGCTCTATAGAGTCTGTCTTGCAACCCTACCCAAATCCCATCTGTTGCTGATTTATGGGATTTTTGCATTATTTTGGGATTTGGCTTATTTTGATTTGTATTTATTTATTTATTTGGGGTTTTCAATTATTTTTATTAATTAATTTTGTATCAGCACATATCCAATGTATTCTAATTACTCTTTCCCAACTCAAGCTTCTCTCCATCCCACCCCTACTAATGTTCCCTCATCACTACCGGTCCCTTTTCTAGATTCACGTGTTTCAATATTGTGTTGTGACTCATTTCGTTTAGCCAGGGCCCTTTAGACCAAGCAATGGCTGAGGTCTCCAGTGTGTATATTTACAGAGTGATGAAAGCATATAAGTGTAACATTTATATTGTTCTGCCAATATCTCCCCCATCTTTTTGTCTTTATTTTTAAGATAGGGTCTCATATAGCCTAGGCAGACCTCAAACTCACTATGTAGTCAAAGATAACCTTGAACTCTTGATCTTCCTTCCTCCACCTCCCAAGTACTGGGATTACAAGTGTCCATTACCATGTCCCATTAATGCAGTACAGGAACTCAAAGTACTGGGATTACAAGTGTCCATTACCATGTCCCATTAATGCAGTACAGTACACACTCTTCCAACGGAGCTGTGTCCCCATCTTCATGCTTTTGCTCATGTGGGCATCAGCCCAGTGTGTCAGGTGCTGACCCAAGCACTAGAGACCCAACATGGTCTCTGCTTGTGGGAATGTGGGAAGACCAAGGTCTAGTATGCATTGTCCAGAGTCTTTGGGGTGCCACCCGGCCTTAGTCTAAACAACAACACTGGGGGTTGAAGGAATAAGAAGGGACAGACAGAATCCTTACCTCCACATTCAGATACATTCCAGGCTTCTGAGATTTTTAGGGCCCCAAGATTTTCTGGTCTTGGGCATGGTTCACAAGTGACTTGCCCTTCCTCATTTTGGAAGGTTCCATTTGGACATAAAATGCAGCGTTCTTGTGATCCATCATAATACGTCCCAGCTCTGCAACTGACTAGCCAAAGGGGGGACAATCTGGTCAGTGTGAGACAGAGGCTGGGGAAGCATGATGTGAGTGCTAGAGATGAAGATGTTAAGATGAAAATGGACCACACTCACCATGCGCATCCCTTAAAGATAGAGTATGCATTATCTCTGGCTTCCCCATTCCTATCACCACCCCTCCATCTAATAGCTCTGTATCTCCCTAGACCAGCCAGCCAGGGCCATAGGAACCTTATTGTGTAGCAGAAGCACTTGATGAAATGTTGGGCTTTTTGTATTTTGTTTGTTTGTTTAACACCTGGGTTGTCCTAGTTTACAGGGCTATCAAAGGAGTAAAAAGGTGAAAATTACTCATTTTCTGTCTCTGTCTGTCTCTGTCTCTGTCTCTGTCTCTCTCTCTCTGCGTGTGTGTGTGTGTGTGTGTGTGTGTGTGTGTGTGTGTTTCACCTGGAAGAATTAGAGATTGGGCCTACAGCCTCACATATGCTAGTCACTCTCCCACTGAGCTACATACAGGTCCAGCTCCGAGGAAGGTGTTCTGAATTCTGTCTGGTAGCATCCAGCAAGGCTTCCTAAAGGAAGTCATATTTGAGTCAGGCCTTGAAGGATGGATAGGATCTACACAGTAGAAATGGGCTGTCTCAGAGGTTCTTGCATGGCATATTGGAACAAAGGGAAGGGGAGCTGGGGATAGGTAAAAAGAGTTCCTGAATTCCAGATGTTTTGGAATTTTATTCTTGGTGGTGGGAGGGAGTGGGCACTGGAAGGAGGAAAACCCATCAGCTTTAGTGTTTTCTAAAGCTCCTCCTTCAGCCACTGCATGGGTAAGTAAGGTCTTGAGGACCTCATTAAACAGCACACTTCAGATGTGCAATAAATGCATTCCAAAGCATAAACTCTTATAAATGTTCCATGAAGAATAAGCAATAAGAAAATGCTTGACTATACTTCTGATTGCTAGTTAATTCAAGATTCTGATGGTGCTAGTTAAATAAGGATTTATGCCCTGTTCTACATCATGAAAGTGAAGTAAATATACCCAATGTGGCTTCCTATTTCAACAGACAAGCATCATCCTTATAGCCCCTGTATAGTCTTTCTATGTAGCTGACATTAAGTACCTACTGTGTACATGACATGCCAGACGCTTTACCTGTAATATGCCATGTATTCCTTAGCATAACCCTGGAGAGCAGGTGGCACCATTAGCTCTAGTTTACAGAAAGAGTACCTAGGAAGAGGGGGCTAAATAACTTGGTCCAAAGTCTCACAGCCTCTCTGGGGAATACATCTTTGGCAAGGTTTAGAGCTCTGAATCTAAAAGGGGCTTTCCCTGGTGAAATGGTTAGCACCTTGGACTCTGACTTAGGAGAGGAATATAGGAATATAACTCGCACAATTGGAGACAAAAGCTCAGGCCTTCGTTAAGCAGCTAAGGGTCTGACTAGAGCAAACATGCTCTTTTTAAAACTTAAATCTTCCAGGAAATAGAAAAGTAGAGCCATAGGACAAAGTTGACCATTACACACCTCAACTGTCTGAGGAGGTGTTTATCTCCTTCCCATCCTAGAAGTGCAGTTTGCATAGGGAATCTTAGGTTTAAACAAGGTAAACAATGTCATCAGTAATTAATCATTCAGTGCTAGGTACCCAACTCTCAGGAGGCAGAGACAGACAGATCTCTGTGAGTTCAAGGCCAACCTAGTCTGCATAGCAAGTTCAAGGCCTACAGAGCAAAACCTAGTCTCAAAAACAAACAAACAAAAATTGTTTATTACCCATTTTTTTCATTATTCTCTCAAGAATACAGTTTAAAATGAGGTTTTATTTTCATCAGAATAAGGCTATGCAATATTTCAGGTATTATTTCTACAGCTAGATGTACTTAACCAATAAAATCTATACTCATTTAAATCTTAACACTTTTTTGTATTGATTACGTTTTTGTCTTAAAATATTTGTGGGTTGGCAGGGCGTTGGTGGCGCACGCCTTTAATCCCAGCACTCGGGAGGCAGAGGCAGGTGGATCTCTGTGAGTTCGAGACCAGCCTGGTCTACAAGACCTAGTTTCAGGACAGCCTCCAAAGCCACAGAGAAACCCTGTCTCAACACACACACACACACACACACACACACACACACACACACATATATGTTGTTTTTATATGTTTGTGATTTTTCAAAAAGATTTTATTTTATGTGTACAACTGTTCTGCCTTTGTATATATTTGTATACCATGTATGTGCCTGGCTCTTACAGAAGTCAAAAGGAGGTGTCAGGTCCCCTGAAACTGGAGTTACAAATGGTTATTCCCACCATGTGGGTGTTATGAATCAAACCTGGGTCCTCTGGAAGAGCAGCTAGTGCTTTTAACCACTTATCCCTCTCTCCAGCCCCCAAAGATTTTGTAATTTTGTTATAACTGAAATCTTAAATACAAACCCACCTTGCTTCCTTGGCACTCAATGCCATAAAGAGCAGGATACATATACCCATGGCAGAGTCTATATTTCAGACTTACTCTCTGCACACAGCCTTGTTCCATGATGGTTTCTACAACTGCACTGCTTCTAGCCCATGTCTCATGAGAATAACTCTTCTATGGATTTCTCCAGCCAAGCAGTCATGGAGGCTGGCAGAAAGCAAATCAGTGCTAGCCTGTCTGGAGTGTTTCTGGCCTGAGCCATTTCCACTAGAGAAAGAGCTGATGGCAGATACCCAGGTTATAACTGATCCCGGCAACACAGTCAATCCTCACGCAGAGGCAGAGCAACGTGATTGGCACTACCGGTTCCTCTGGTGGAAAACACAGCATCCAGTTCAGGCCTAGACCTGTGTCCCACTGAACAGGGTACCAGGATGGACACAGGACTGTCCACATAAGGCTCCACCTTGGAGCTATTTACCCAGCCCCCAATCCTTGTCAAGGTCCCATTTGAAGAGGCCTCAAGTCATCCCATATCAATTGGGATTTTCTTACTGATCAAAGGGCTGGCTGCCCTGTGGTCAAGAAGGCCCTGTTTCTTTCTCCCCACAGTAAGAGGGCCACTTCACATAAACAACCTCATCTTGTCAGTCACAGCTTCCACACAGTAAGACCTAGGGAAAGAATTCCATGCCACATACTTTCCAGATATGTTTGCTTCTTCCCCAAGGTAAACACAAGTGAAACCCTGTCGGGACGGATGCCTGGGAACAGCGCTGTGCATGCATGTGTGCTGGATGGGACCTCGACATGTCCCAGTTGCTTCTCTCTTCCCCTTGAGTGGCCTGCTTGTGTTGTTGCCCTCAGACAATGGAGGCAATTGCCCCCAAAGCACTTCACCATCACAGCAAAGCTTTTGTGTACTGTCAGTGACCATTAAAATCCTATTCTCAAATCCTGCACAGCTGTTTCTCCTCCTCTTAAAAAAAGAGGAAAAAAAATACAAGAAAGCCTTTCTGATGCAAAAGGGTAGAAACCAGCAGGGACCAGGATTAATGGTGACAAAGAGGCCTAAAGGCTTGCCCTCTTTTCAGCTCCCTGGCCTTTGAGTATTTCAGGCTATGGGCAAACACTATGGTCTCTCTGCAGCTAAGAGGGTGAACCTAATAAAAGGGGCCACTCTCCAGCATCTCACCGTTGTCTTAAGGATTGAGTCTGACTTCTGAAGTTGAGCCACAAGCAGCCATGCAGATTCCCAAGGTATCCTGGGGTGGCTGCTTTGTCCCAGCTCAGGGGCAAGTCCCAAGAGTCCCAAGGCGATGCAGTAGCCTCAGGATCCTGGCTAGAGCCTCCTTTAAAAGACTACCCCCAGGGTAACAGGGCACAGCAACTTCTTGGACTGAAGAATTGCTTCTTCATTGTCTTTGCAGGATTTGGGGGTGCAGTCAGGGTTGCTGTCTGAAAACATCCTCATGGTCGAGGCCTAGAAATGAGCCTAGCTGTGGACCTCCCTTGCTGGGGACCCAAGTGTGTGTTATGTTCTCTTCATGCCTGGTTAAGTGGAGTCAAAATTTCACTTCCTTCAAAGTGACTTTTTGGCCCTCAATTTAAATCTCCACACCTACCAGAAAGCTGTGTTTTGCCCTCTTTGCATATTGTCACCTACCTTTAGGATTTCATTCTTTCTTGTTAATTTTTTTTCGTTTTATTGATTGTGTGTGTGTTTGGGGCGGGGGCAGTATATGCCATAAGACTACTAGTGGGAGTTAGTTCTCACCTGTGGGTTCCAGGGACTGAACTCAAGTCATCAGGTTTGGTGGCAGGCACCTTTACCCACTAAGCCCTGTCCTTTAGTGGTGCTCATAAAGAATCATTAGCATCTTCATTTAACAATGATACCAATCAAAAACTGTGTGTCTAGTGTTCTTCTAGGAGCTGGAGATGCAACAGGGGAAGGGACAGATATGGCCTTACCCTCATAGAGCCCTTGTTCTCATGGAGAGTATGGACAATAAGTAGGCAAAAGAACACACAGTACAGTGCCAAGCAGTGGCATAGTGATGCAAAGTAAGCAGTGTACTGGGACCCCATGTCTGCATGTCTGTGTTTCAGTAAGGTGGCTAGGAAAGAGTACTCTGGGCAGAGACTGGAATAGAGGAGGGAAACCGTCTTGCCATGAGACTATCTAGTATAGACAACTTATGTCACAGGAACAGGAAGAAAGGGGCAAGGTGAGTGGAGATGTATTTTAAGAGGCTAAAAGAGGAGAATTACAGGTTTGAAGACAGCCTGTGCTACACAGTGAGACCCTATCTCAAACAGATAAAGAGCATACATCTATAACACTAACACTTGGGAGGTTGAGTCAGGAAGATCACTGTGAGTTCAAGGCCAGCCTAGGCTACATAGTGAAACACTGAAAACCAAGCAAACAACCAAACAAAAAACAAACAATACAGAACAAGCAAGGCAGGTTGTGTGAGGTCTTGAAGGCCATAATAAGGAAAGAAGGCTTACAGCGTGTCGAGGTCCTGAATGGGCAGGCAGTGTGTCAGAAACTCTGTCTCTAAGCCATCTTTTGCCT